CGGAGGAAAATTCCGTGTTGCCTAGACCACGGCCTTGCCCAACACAAGTTATAAATTCGGGCACCGCCGGGAATCGAACCCGAGACCCCAGGATTACAAGGCCAGCGTTCTAACCGCTGTCCAAATACACAAGAAAAATAAGGTGCAATGATAGTGACTGATAATGAATATTCAGGGATTTGTGCAGAAGCGGTCGTCGACCAATTTGAAGGCGCTACGACCATAGACATCATGCACGCCCAAATATTCCCCTCGGCCCAATCATCGCTCAATGTGACGCGCCACAGAAGTCCTCACGCCGCCAGACACGTAGCACTTTCAAAGATGTTGCAGGCCTTGCGAGAGGAGGATGTGCACAGCAGGAAATGGGGGTTCATGCGCCCTCTCATGTACACCCCTGTGACTGGGCACCGACCCTGCGCAACCGACAGAGGAAAACAATTGCAGTGATGAGTAATGTATGACTCAAAACCGTGAATTGAAAACAACGCTCAAGGCTGGACGGGGGTCCCCTCTGGTTGCGCCCTCACAACCCGGAAGCTCAACCATCATAAAAAAAAATAAACATGCTGCTGGTAGCCAACCAACCCGGACGAGTGTCGTAATGGCCGTGGCCTACTTTAAGGCATTATGACATTAATGGCAGCTATCACAGTGATTAGATTCGCTTCATTCAAATTACTTGCTGCTTAAGAGTGGTTTAAGTTTACCGACGTTTGAAAAGTATTTCCTGTCTCATGGCCAGGGACCGGTAGCTGGATCTTGTGAACACGGTGATGAACATTCTGATTCGGCACAAGGCACAGATTTCTTAATGACTTGATCGAATCTTTGCTTCTAAAAGGCTCCGCTCCGTGGAGTCGTGTGGAATTATATAGATGGACGAGCAGGTAGAAGTTTCTTTGTATAAACTCACCGGGTCTGACAGTTTCAAGTTTCAATGATGGACGCTTGAGAAAGCTGATGTTGAATCAACAGATGGCCCTACGTTTAGCAGCACATGGGAACGAAGTTGGCACACCTGTCGTCCGTCGGGAAATCTCATCATTGTTGGTACAACACGTTGGAGAGGAGATGAACAACTGAGAAGTATCTGGTCACACCCCGGGAAATTCTGATCACATGCTTCAAAATGTCGATTTGTACACACCAATGTTGTTGTATCATTCAACAGAAACACCAACCACCCCAGGGATTTTTTTTTTGACAGCGGGAATTTTGGGCTAGCCAGTTCTAACAATTACTGTCGTTGTCCCTGGACCCGATGTTCACTGATGTCACTCCGTTCGAACTTGCTGCAGTCGAAAGACGACGACCCAGACAAGAATCTGCGAAACGTTTTGCTTTACTCCCAAGTCGGTCTGTAGCAGAGGCAATCTAATTTACCGGCATTCCAGAGATGAAATCTACAGGAAGCTTGGCATCTCGGACCACACAACAAGGCGGAAATGGGAAGAGAGATAGGATAGGGTATCAGACTACCAATAGTGGGAAAACTACGGCAAGACCCAGGAAGAGGAAGGGGGAGACCGGGGACGATAGGGTAGCAATCTCAATGGAACTGTTGGCGGCCCCCCCCTCCTCCCCGCCGAAGCCGGGGTAAACTGTGACAGTTCATTCATGGGATTCAACCCACACCCTGGCTCCACACAGAGGATGTGTGCCCGAGTGACTCACACTGAACTACCCGAATTATTGTTACGATCTCTTTGTTGTTGCCGTGGAAACGCATCCCACATCCAATAATACAGCGCGCGCGTGACAAATGACGAGCGTTTTCTGACAGCTGCATCACATTCATTCATAATCTCATGCAGGCATTGTAAGAAGTGGCATTTCACGTTCGCAGTTCTCGTAATCTGTTTGCAACTCGACGAAGGACCGCGGGAAAGGTAACGAAAGATTAATGTGGCGATGAAAAAATGAATAGAAAACAGGACTATGAGACTAATCAGGGATCAACTGCCATCTGGTACGCGATGTAAGCAAAGCACAAACGTTTATAAAGCTTATTACTGCTCCCCCGGCCCTAAAGTTACGTATTCTCTGATCTGCAGTTTTCGTAGCTAATGACGCCACGGAGCTTTAAACCAAAGCTTAGGGGGTGCAGCTTAAGTCTGAAACACGAGGAACCTTATCTTGTGACGCCTTGCTTAGCGTCTTGAAACTTAAAACTACCCACAACCGACAGGCAGACCCTTTCTCGATGGTCCCAGTTTCTAGAAAAATCTGGGCTTGTTTATGAAGCCTTCGAACCGCTGTGTGGGGGGGAGGAAACCCTCTTCCATTAACCGGAAGACGTAAACAGAGAAGGCCATGTGGTGCACCGGAAGTGGTGCTGTATCAGCCCGATGTTATCGACTACCCTCAAACCTAGGGATTCCGGAAGTCTGAGGCGGCCGGGTCAGCGCATGGAATTTGTTCATTCAAATTGGGACTGGGGAAAGAATTCACATCCTCCGGAAGTTTTCCGTGATAGTTTCCTCACGGAACGGACCAATCAACAGTTCCCACCCCCCCACCTCTGCTGTATTCGTCACTAACCCCCATAGAAAACAAGATATGGACCATAATGAGTGAAAATAAAAATTGCCTGTTGGGGCGGGTTTGCGTCTTAAAACATTCTAAAAATATCGTAATTATTGTAGCATAACGGGAGTTTAACTATGAATAAACTCGGCCTCAGGGCATTGTCCCGAGCCATTATCACGATATCGGCCCCTAAACATATTAAGTCCACCCTCTGAAGGAATCTACTCCATGATGATGGCTCTTCGCCTTGTTATAAAGCAAGCAGGAATAAAAAGGAAACAAGGGTTGGAATCCCCAAGTGATTATGACCAATCCGAATTAGAAAGAAATACGGGTCCAGATCGCGACACAATTATTACCAAACGACGAGAAGATTCGCGTGGAAAGCAGGGAGTAGTCTAAATCGAAGGCTTTTTAACGGCAATCATCTCAGAATGACAGCTGACGGTCACCAAAGTGAATTAGGATCCCGTCGCTATGTTCTGTCGCAGTTAGAGGCAAATGACATCACGCTGAAACACAGAGCAGTGACGCCGATATGGCCACCCCCTCGTCTGCATTCAGTACGACCGGAAACCGACCTACAGCCAGCGAACACGTGACACCTGTTATTGAGGTCAAAACTCGCGGGGTCTGGAATGAGGAAATGGCATTGTTTGGTAAACAGTTGCCGGAGTTGGCAGATAAATTTGGAAAGTTTTTACAACGCTTATCTGTCCACAAGGCCCCCCCACATCAGTGACTCAGAACTATCCTGTATTCTCGTCTCACATCTTATGACTGTTTTACGACGACAATGATTCGGAGTAAACAGCTGTGTCAATGGATTAATTACAGTGAATATATATGACGTGTCCTGCGAAGTCTCGCTGAGATTTTCCTGGGGGAAGAAACCCACTGTGTCCTGTGTCCAGGTAGTGCCCTGAAGGGAAAGGTTATTTTAACCGTCTTCAACGTTCTACCACGTAATGCTGTCTGAATCCGATCTAAAGCCTCGTCTCGTCCCCCAAACAAGGCAGTTTCTCCCGTTAAGTCAGTCGCATGTGACTCATTACGCACTTCTCATTAAATTCTGATTAGCAACCACGTCTCCATGGCGACCGGCATTTACGAGGAATTACAAAGGCGATTCTTATCTCTCAGATCTGACACAGTTTCTAATACAAACTATCCACTGCCTTTGTAAGAATAGTCGCTCACCTGGCCCGCCTTTTATGGGACCCGAAGGTTCATTACTGTAATCGCAAGAGTCCGCCACTGTCCCCCACCCTGAGCCACCAAAATGTAGCTCACATCTGCGATTTAAATTGTAAAAATAACTATTGAATAATTCTCGATTGTTAATTTGTTTTCTTATGGTTTAACAAAGGCGTTCTCCGAACGTGAAATATCGTGGGGGGGGGGCAGTGACCCATGATAAGATCTAAGTAGAAAATGTTTAAAGTAATCGTTTAAAGACAAGAAAAATACGTCGTAGTACAAAGCTATATCAATACATCTTTCATGCGTTGAGGAGGAATGAATTTGAAGACAGCTGTCTTATGGGTTGTGGCGCAACCCCGATGATGGAGGCAGCAAGGGCCTCTGCATACACGGCGCTACAACCCAGGAGACAGCCGTCTTCATACTCATCGCCGTGAGAACCTTAAGTCCTACTTAGGAAGGAGTTTATCCAAGACATTTCAAAATGTTAGCCAGTTACTGGTCCGTATCTAGGTCTTCCAAGTCGTC